GGTGAGGGGTCGGGGGCGGGGGGAGGCGGTGGCAACTCCTAGCACCTTGTGGTGGGGGCAGCAAACGCAGTCCACAGAGCCACAGCAGGAGGTGAGGGGGCCTGGTCCAGAGGCCCTGGGGGTCTGTCGGGTGCCAGCCTCCCCGCCGGGTGGCTCCTCTTCACCAGGTGGGTTCCATTCCAGAGGGAGTGCCCCAGGGTGAGGTCAGGGGCAGGGCCGGCGTTCTTTCTGCTCCTGCGTGGGGGTCACGGCCAGGCCTGCATCCTGCCCGACAGTGTTGGCCATGGACGAAGCCTCCAGAGCCTCACTCCAGCACCTTGGGTGTGGGGGCCGCCCCAGGCTCTCGCCTGCGCTTGGCGCTTTTAAAGAAACCAAGCTGCGGGCCAAGGGAATGTCTCAGGTGTGGAGGTCAGGCATCCCCCCTCACAGGGTCTCCCTGTGCCCTGCCCCAGGGCTCCCCAGGCTGCAGCACAGGATGGGGCCATGGCAAGAGGTAGGAGGACCAGCCGGCCCCTGCGTTGCACTGTGGGGCTCCCTCACCTCTGTACACAAGAGGGTGAGATCAGGTTAGAGAGAGGGCAGGGCCTGGGCTGTGGCCCGCCGACAGCGGGGGCAATGCTACATGGTGGTGTGTACTTGTTGACCTCTCACTGGGTTCTCCTAGGACCCACTGGGGACTGGAGTCCCAGCCTGGTGCCCCCCAGACACTGACCAGCCTGCCTGCCAGGGCAGCCCTCCCAGCCGCAGAGCCTCACCTTCCACAGTGCCAGGACCAGCAGGGCCAGCAGCAGGAGGCCTCCCAGGGAGCTGCCCACGACCACCCAGATGGGGACCTGCCAGTCATCCTGCTTGGAGATCTCGAAGGTGATCTGTGGGAGAGCTGGGTCAGGCTGGGCCTTTCAAGTGCTGGATAGCTGCCGCGTGGGGGCGCTGGCACCCAGTGGGAGAGCTGCTGCCCTGCTCGGGTGCTGAGGACGGGTGGCATTGGCCCAGGAGGCCTAGGCTACCAGGGCCGCAAGGGGACCCTGGGGAGGTACTGGTGACCCTGCTTGTGCTGGCCTTCCCCCCAAACTGAGGCCTGGATGGCAGAGCCCTCGTATATCCTCTCTCCTCTCCCCCACTAGTCCTGGATGGCAGGGCCCCCATATGTCCTTTTTGTCCCTGAGGTCTGGACCCAGCTTTGCTCTCCAGTTCATCTGTTTCCCCTGGGGTCTAAGTCTAGGCCGCCCTCAGCCTCCACCCTACCACCCCTCTGCAGGCCCTCCCTCCTGGGACCACTCTCCGTGTGGCTGTTCGGCCCTGCCTGTCCAGCTCTGGGCATCTTCCTGGGGTCAGCTGGAGGTGACTTGCATGCCCAACAGCAATGTGCTGGTCCCAGGCTGGCCTTTGGAGATGTGGCCGGTGGGGGCCTCTGCATCCTACACCCAGCTGTTCCTGGGCCGGGCTTTTGTTTAAGGCCAATGCCTTGCAGTCCTGGGAGAGCCTCACCCCTTCCCAGCTGAGCGGAGCCAGCTCATCTGTGACCACCTGGTTTTGCCCAACTAAAGCGTCCCTGCACTGATGTATGGCACATCCTCCAGGACTCACACCACTCACACCCACTCCCCCCAGCTCTGCCCCATGCTTCCTATCTTGCTTCTGTCCCCTCCCTGGCTATAGCCTGCCTGACTCTGCCAGACACGTGGGCAATGGAGCCCCCCAGGAGAGGTGGACCTACCCAGGTCTCGGGGCTCACCTGGCGGCTGGGGTCCTCCTCGCGGAAGATGAAGGGGCTGTGGAACTGCCTCTGCAGGGCCGCATTGACTGTGATCTTCATGGACTTGAACTTGAGCTGTGCAACCGGAGGCCCTGTCAGAGGCTTGCCAGGCAGCCCTTTCCTGTCCCTGGAAACCTCATGGGAGGATCCCGAGAGCTGCCCTCCCCTCCCCCCCAGCTGGGCTCCACTTACCACCTTCAGCGACCTCAGCCATAGGCTGCCCAGCAGGTGGAAGTTGACCTCCTGGCCAGGGGACAGCCGCACACCACAGTGGATAGAGACCACGTCGGAGTTGCTGTGGTTCTAGAAGGGAAGGCGGGTCTCGGGCTAAGTGGCCGGGGGCAGCTGGGAGGTGGCTGACCTGGCTTGAGAACATGATGGGAGTGCGGCCACTGGAGAGACACCCTGTTGCACTGCCCAGCCCACAGGAGAGGCAGAGGGTGGGGACAAGGAGAGAGGTGGGTTGGGCGGCACATGGGCTGTGTCTGCTGGGGGAAGGTTGAAAGACAAATCTGAGGCCAAGGTGGGATGATCGCTTGAGGCCAGGAATTTGCGACTAACCCGGGCAACATAGCGAGATCCCATCTCTACAAAAAATAAAGAGATAAAGGTTAGTTGTGTGTGGTGGTACACACCTGTAGTCCAAACTGCTTGAGGAGGCTGAGGTGGAAGGATCGCTTGAGCCCAGTTCAAGGCTGCAGTGGGCTGTGATTGCACCACTGCACCCCAGCCTGGGTGACAGAGGGATACCCTGTCTCTAAATAAAACAAAGGATGCTCTATCTGTTGCTCTCTTGGAAGCTGTGCAGAATGACCAGGCTTGGTGTACTCCAGGGACAGAATCTGGTTCAACATTAGGAACAGAAATGTCATCACCACAAAACAGGTTAAAGGACAAAAGTCATGTGATCTCGGCACCAGATACTGAAAAGTACTGTAGGAACTTCTGTTCATGATAGAAACCCCAGGAGCTTCCTGAGTGTGATAAAGGGTGTGTATGAGGCTTCATAAAGTTCATGGAAAATGCATGTCATGAACAACCTATGCATGGATTCTGGAACTTCTCTGCACCAAAATTAGCCTGTGCCGACTTGGCATGACATGTTTGCGTGGGTCTTGTTCGAGTCACTGCAAGGATAAGACAGTAGTTTGCAGAGTCCCTATTGGGGTTACAGACGTCCTGTTGAAATTGATGCAAGGACAAACATCAAATGTATGGGTAGGCCTAGGTGGCAAATGGTGCCATCGCTGCTGCTTTACGATGAGTTTATGGAAAATTTAAGTTTTAAGGGAAGACGAGACATGCTGAGGAAGCTGTGGCGGCAGGCCAGCCACATCCAGTTGCAAGGAGAGAGTTGTCTTGCGGTTTCCAACAGCAGGAGCCACAGACAACACCACGGACGCCAGACTGCCTAGCACACATGATTCTCATGGAAAAACCAAAGTCGAGCAAACTTCCCATTCAGCCACAACCGCAGCACCCAGGTCAGAGTGGTGCTGTCGGCACACGTGAGCACGTGGGACCAGGGTCCCGAAGTGTCTCTTCAAGAACTGACTTAGGAGAGGACACGGCGTCACCAGCACCTGCCTGGAGACAATGCACAACCCAAGCAGAGGCTTCCATGCAGGACGTGCCAGCAGGAACAAAGAGAGGACTGGTGGGAGCAGAGGTCACCCAACAGTCACAGATGCTGAGGCCTCTCCTTGCTGACTCCTAGAGGGCCAGAGTGCTGACACCTGCTCGGTAAGATGTTTCCAGAAAGCCAAGGCCACGCTGCTCCTGCTCACTCCTCCACACTGGCACACTTACAAGCCCTTCCATGGGAAATCGCTGGGCGGCTGCCTGGCAGGGCTCATGTGACTCCTTTGACCTTTTTTTTTTTTTTGAGTCGGACACCCACTCTGCCGCCCAGGCTGGAGTGCAGGGGCATGCTCACGGCCACTGCAGCCTCAGCCTGCTGGGCTCAGGCGATCCTTCTGCCTCAGCATCCCAAGAAGCTGGAATTACAGGCATACACCACCATGCCTGGCTAATTTTTTTGATTTATTGTAGAGATGAGGTCTTGCCAAGTTGTCCAGGCTGGTCTTGAACCCTTGGGCTCAGGCAGTCCTCTCACCTCTGCCTCCCAAAGTGCTGGAATTATAGATGTGAGCCACCACACCCACCCAGCTATTTATTTATTTATTGTAGAGACAAGGTCTCACTATGTTGCCCAGGCTGGTCTCAAACTCCTGGGCTCAGGCAGTCCTCCTGCCTTGGCCTCCCAAAGTGCTGAGAATACAGGCATCAACTACCATGCCCAGCCTTGACTTTTTTATGTTTCCTGATCTTAACAGATCTTTAAGGGACACTCATTTTTCTTCAGTTAACAATGTAAAAAAGACAGCATTGGCATGGTTAACTCCTAGCCCCTCAGTCCTTTAGGGATGGACTAAGTGGCTGGTGTCGTTGCTTATGAAAACGTGTCTTGATCTTGAGGGAACTTATGTTGAAAAACACAGTTTATATATCTTTTAAAAGTTTATATTTTGGCCAGACTGGGTGGCTCAGCCTGTAATTCCAGCACTTTGGGAGGCCAAAGTGAGTGGATTGCCTGAGCCCGCGGGTTCAAGATCAGCCGGGGCAACTTGGCAAGACCTCGTCTCTACAATAAAGAAATCAAAAATTAGCTGGGCATGGTAGCACGTGCCTGTAGTTCTGGCTACTTGGAAGGCTGAGGCTGAAGGATTGCCAGAGTCCAACAGGTCAACACTGGGGTGGCCAGGAGTGTGCCACTGTACTGCAACCGGGGCAATGGAGTGAAACTCCAACTCAAAAAAAAAAGTTTATATTTTAATTCCATTTTCTGTGAATTCCTGAAATCCTCTTGAGTGTTTAACCAAAATTTAATAATATACTAAAGCTATCCTATTTAATAATAAAAACATTCCTTTAAGACCATGATGGAGACAATCCTGACTCTCTCCTCAGGTCTATTTTCATCTTTCTGGAGGTCTCAGCCAGAGTAATATGACAAGAAAAATGACTTACAAAGATTAAGTGGAAAAATGAATGTTGGTACAAAACCCAGACAAACCTTCAGGTAATTAGGACGTGTCAGGTTGAGGTTACTTGTGTTACTGCCTTGCTGCCACCCTGACATGAGCCAAACCCACATCTGTGGTCAACTACCCCACCCTAAAAGTGCTTTGTGGGAGGCACTTGTTTGGGAAAATAAAACTCAAACAGCTACGGTTTTGTCTGGGTAAAGAATAGTGAAAGCAGCTGGACATGGTGGTTCATGCCTGTATCCCAGCACTTTGGGAGGCAGAGGCAAGAGGACTGCTTGAGGCCAGGAGTTCTAGACCAGCCTGGGCTACATAGGGAGACCGTATCTCTACCAAAACAAACAAACAAACAAAATTCAAAAAAAGAACAGTGAAAGCACGCTAAGAAGTTGGTGTCCAGAAGCAGAAGTCACCTGAGGATATCCATGTGGGAACAAGTGGGTGTCCTGGAAGGGCCCTGGGATTGGGGTTGAGCTCCATCATCATCTGGCCCAGGTGCCAGTCCATTGCCCCATCCCTTTCTGCTGGCTGACCTGGCGCACTGCCACTGTGACCTGGCTTCCTGGGTGCTCACCCTGAGTGCCCATCTGTCCCAACTCCACAAGATGGGGTGGGCCCTTGTGGCAAGAAGCACCCTATCCGCATTCTGTTTGTCCTTGGAGGTGGGTCACATGTTGGTGCTCAGACGCACTCACTGGCCAGCTCTTGGGCCCGGGGGGATGTGACCCCGGCCTGGGCTCACCCCCACCCCACAGCCCTGGATGTGACACTCACCAGCCGTGGTAAGGGAGACATGATCCTGGCCCAGGCCTCACCCTTCCCACAGCCATGGACCCAACACTCACCAGCTGCGGGGCCCGACTCAAGTCCTCTTCCGCTGGCATGGGCCGGTACTCGGTGCTGTTCCCCCAGATGTTACAGGACGTGTTCACCTGCTCGAAGAACGCGCGCGCACACAAGCCTCACCCCTCATTCCGCAGGCGGTACCCAGCAGGGCTTCCCCTCCTCACTAGGAAGGGCCCGGCTGCCCTCGGGGACACCAGCATGTCTGTCTCCCAACCCCTCCCTCTTCCGCTCCTGGTACCTGGTCGGCACGGAAGTCCCCGAGTGTCAGTAGGCGACTGCCACCCCGTGTGGCAATGGGAACTGTGATCCTCAGCGTCACCCCGTGGACAGGGAACAGCCCCAGGTTCTGGATCTGCGCCCAGAGGGGAGGAGTCAGGGCACCACTAGGGCTGGTTGGGGGAGGTGGAGGAGAGGCTGACCGATTAGCCGGGCCCCCAGAGGCCATGTCCTGTGGAGGCCCCGAGGCTCTGCCAGGCCTGGCCGGGTACAGGTGGAAGTGCAAGGCGGCTCTAGAAGTGGGGAGTGGGGCTGGGGGTGGGGGTCTCTCCCATTCTCAGCTCCCTTGGTAGGAGAGTGCTGGGGGGTGGAGATGTGCACTCACTTGTGGAGGGACTGACTGGTAAGTGAAGAGGGCTGGGAACCACGTTTGCGGCAGGTCACGCTCCAGCCAGACATAGTGCAGGGGTAGCTGTGACTCCAGCCCCGGGCAGCCACCCTGCTGGGGCGTGGCCCTGCGGGTTTCTAGACCTCTCCAAGACAACCATGCAGGGCCGTGTCCGAAGCCCAGGTTCAGCCACCCGCCTGCCGTCTGGCAGCCAAGGGAGAGGCTGACAGACCCGCAGCTGGCCTGGGTAGGGTGACCCAAGGCCAGGGCAGGAGATGCAACTGGACTACCCCACACTCATTCTCCTCCTGCCTCAGTGGCAGAACCAAGACCAGGGCCATGTCCCCAGCCGCTCACTGCCCAATCAGGCCGGCCTGGGCAAGGTGGGGGAGCCACAGGTGTGGGGGCACACGCCACCGCCCCCTCCTTCCTGCTGCCTGGAACATGGACGCAGTGGTAGGAGCTGCAGCTGTCCAGGACCGTGAGGTGAACTGGAGGGCGCAGGCAGAAGACCGCCCTGGGTAATGCTGACGCCACCAACTCAGACATTTATGGGAGTCACCTTGGCGTGTGTCAACCACAGCTGTTTTTTACGTAGTTTGAGAATTCCAGGCAGTCACACCTAATCTTCCTTGATACATCACCCAGTTCAGTCATATTTGAGATGATGACCAATTGGCCCAGAGAGGGGAAGTGATTTGCCCGAAGTCGTACAGTGAGTGTGTGGCAGGGTTGAGGCTGGATTCTGGGTGTGAGGATGATCCCAGAGTGCCCCTCTCGCCCACCGCCACCGTGCTCTGCGCTCTGCCACCCTCCAGGCTTACCTTGAACACACAATGGAAGGGAGGTCCCAGGCCGGCGTATACCTCCGGGGAGCTGTTGGACTTGACCTCGTAGTGGGTGAGGCTGCTGGTCCTGCGGAGATGGGACAGGGCCGCCGCCAGTCATCAGTGCAGGCTGGAGAGGCTGTGGCGTGGGCCTGCCTCCCCAGGCCCCAACCAACGGGCTTTCTCTGTGTCCCCCAGGGTGATATGTTTTGAAGGATTCTGAGGGTCAGTGGGAGTAGCTGCTGCCTTCAGTGAATGGTGTCTGCCTGGGCCTGGGCGGGCCTGGGCTGTGAGTTCGGTTATTTCTCATCCTGCTCCAGCCTCTGCCCAGGGGCACGGCTTCTCAGGATGGCTGCCGTGGGGGGTCCTGGCTTGCTCTGTGTTGGCTGCCATGCCCTCACTCCTCATCTGCTGTGAGTGCTCAGAGGACAGAGCCTGTTCCCCCTGGGGGGGCTGGGAGCACTGGAGGGGGTGGGGGTGAGCCGCCAGCCCTGCAGGGAAATCTTTTCTCACTGACAGTGTTCAGAATTGCTGGTGCCGGCCTGGTGGCTCATGCCTGGAGTACCAGCTACTTAGGAGACTGAGGTGGGAGGATCACTCGAGGCACTTGAGGCCAGGTGTTCAAGACCAGCCTGGGCAACAAAGCGAGACCCCTTTTCTAAAAAAAAAAATAAATTAGCTGGGTGTGGTGCCTTGTGCCTGTAGTCTCAGCTACTCAGGAGGCTGAGGAGGGAGGATGGCTTGAGCCCGGGAGGTTGAGGCTGTGGTAAGCTATGACTGTACTGCTGCACTCTAGCTTGGGTGACAGAGTGAAAACCTATCTTTAAAAAATAAAAAATTTTAAAATAAAGAGTCATTAGCTGGGCGTGGTCGCGTGTGCCTGTAGTTCCAGCTACTTGGAAGGCTGAGGCGGACGGATCACCTGAGCCCAGCAGATTGAGGCTGCGGTGGCCAGGAGCATGCCACTGCCCTCCAGCCTGGGCGACAGAGTGAGACTCAAAAAAATAAAAAAATTAAAAAAATAAAAATAATAAATAAATAAAGAGTTGCTGATGTGAGGTTATGGTGAGTAGACTGACCTGCAGCAAGGCTTATTCCTGGCAGTAAATCCTCTACAGACCTGCACCCACCTGTCACCTGTGCTGGGGACCCTACGGTCCGCGGACCCCCTGCTGCCCCTGCTGTGAGGCCCGGGTAGGCCTGTCTCCTTTCTCCACCCGCGGGTGACCTACTGGGGACACACCTGGCTCCATTTCACACCCAGTGCCGGCCAGGCCTTGTCAGGGCTGTCACCCTCCCACCCCCACCCCTCCAGGGCATCTCTCCTTTCCTCCTGTGGAGCCTGGCCCACCTGGTGAAGAGGACATCGGCCTCATATTTGAGGTGGAAGTGCAGGAGGGCTGTGTTGTCATCCTTGGTGCTGTCTTGTTCGTCACTGTCACTGCAGGAGAGGCAGGGGGATGTCAGGACTGAGGCAGGAGTGCGGGCTTACAGGGCAGGAGCACTGGACAGGCCAGTGTGGGGAGGGGATGTCCCGGGAGGAAGGGGCCAGGAGCAGGGGAATGAGAACGGTGGCCTTGCTGCCTCCAGGGGCTGAGGTGGGCCTGGGAGGGCTTCAGGGGGGCTAGGCACCGACTGGGGGGAGGAGGCTTGCCGGCTACCTGTCTACCACGCACCAGTCCCATGCTCCTGCCGGCCTTGGGAGGGAGCTGATGTGGGCAAGGCCGTCTGGGGATGCTGGGCAGGCAGTGAGACATGGGCAGCTGCATGAGCGCCAAGGGAACACTGCTGCCGTGGGCTGGGTGGGGTGACACATAGAGCCCAGGGGTCTTGTCACACGTGCTCCCTCCCACGTGAGCACCGAGGGCACCTGGGCCAATGGTCACAGACAGAAACAAGCGGTTTTGGCCTGTTCCGCACGATGCGCTTGTGCTCTTGGAAGGGGGCCTTCTCAGCCTGTAATCCCAGCACTTTGGGTGGCCGAGGTGAGTGGATTGCCTGAGCCTGCAGGTTCGAGACCAGCCCGGGCAACTTGATGAGAACTTGTCTCTACAATAAATAAAAAATTAGCCAGGTGTGGTAGAGTGCACCTGTATTTCCAGCTACTTGGAAGACTGAGGCTGAAGGATTGCTGGAGCCCAGCAGGTTGATGCTGGGGTGGCCATGAAGGTGCCACTGCACTCCAGCCTGGGCTATGGAGTGAGACTCCAACTCAAAAAAAAAAAAGGAAAGAGGCCTCCCCAGGACAGGCACATCATTAGGGACCAGTACGCTGCCAGCCGGGGCCCTCCTGCACGTGATAGATCCCAGCCCTGCCGCCCTGCCTCCCTGGATGGGCTGTGCTTCCTGAGTGAGGAGGCGCAGGCGGCCTGGGGACCCGTTTTGGCTGGGGTGTCCAACAGAGACTTGTCTAACCAGCGCGTCTAACAAGCTGGATTTGAGCACTTGGTTGGTGTCCGGGCTGTGCCTGTGACCTCTGACCCCTGCATGCTGGGGCTCTGTGCTGGGCCTGTCTGTTTCTCCCCTAGGTGAGGCTCTGGGCTGTGCATAAGGGTCCAGGTGGAGGAATCTATCTCTCCTTCCCACACAGAGTGGCTCGTGGATGACTGCCGTGTGTTTGCGACTGACATGGATGACTCGCAGTGCCCGAGGCAGACAGGCAGACCACAGAGTGAGAAAAGGCCTATAAGGATGGAAAGCTCTCTGAGGCGAGAGGTGACCAGGGCAGGAAGAGTCCGCGGGTGTAGGACATTAGTGTTCACTGCGAGTTGTGCTATTTACATGCTGTGTGTCGGCAGAGAACTCACTCAGCCTCTCTGGGCCTCGCCTTCTCAGCTCGAATTTAGGGGATGGAGAAGAATCCTGTCTCTGCTGGCCCTCGGGGCCCCGTGAGGCCTGCGTGAAACCCCACGTGTGCAGTGCTTACACCTGCAGAGTTCAAGGCCTGTCCCACACGGTTCCCCCCAAAAGTCAGGGGGCGTTGCTATCTGTCATCTGAGGATAAGGGACTGGACTATGGGGGCAGCAGGTGGCCCCCACTGGGGACAGAGCTTGGCTGTGGGGTCCAGTGAGCTGATGGTGGCGGGGAGCCAGCTGGGTGCAGGCGTGGCCCTGACCTGCCGGCCGCGAGCTGGATCTCCAGATGGTGCAGGAAGACTGACTTGCTGAACTCAAAATCCAGCCGGAACGCCACCTGCAAGGAAGCAATGTGTGTCTGGGTGCCGTGGGGCCAGCCAGGGTGCCCTGTGCTCACTGGGGGCCAGGGTGGGAACAGCTGGGGAGGGAGCCCTCGGCGCCCAGATGGGCTGAGCTTGGGCTGCGGAGGGACACGGCCAAAGACAGCCTGGGGCTTCCGGGTGAGGACCCCTGCCTGCCCCTTGCCCAGCGAAAGGCGAATGGGGGGCAGCAGGGCCCAGACCCTTCCTGCAGGGCTCCTGGGAGGCGGCCTCATGCTGGAGGGGCATGGCCATCACGCACCATGGGTCAGGGCCAGGCTGGTGTGAGTGGCCTCCCCCCTCCCCCCTTGATAGCAGGGGGAGCCCTGGTGGGGGAGGTCCAGAGGCACCCGCCTCGCCCAGCAGCCCCACTCTGCTGCCCTGTCCCCCGCTCGGGTGACACACGACCCTCCTGGCCTCAGCCTGCCTGCGGCATGATGGGGCTCGCGCAGATCCTTATGCTGTCACTCCCGATCCTTGGGAGCCTCCCCAGAAGCCCTCAGGGCCCCCCATAGCCCACACTCCTGGGCTGTCAGTGCCCCAACCCCCAAACGGCACCCTCCAAAATGGCACCCTCGGCTGGCCTCTTGTGAGAGTCTTTCTGGGGAGCCCCGATTGCCCCCCTTCCGCAGACCCGCCCCAGGAACGTGCTGCCCTCTGGCTGGCTCCTGCGGCTCCTCACTCTGACCCCCATCCCAGCACCTGGGCCTCCCAGAGTGCCTCTCCTCTGCCAGAACCTTCTGGGACTGCCCACGGCCCGGGGCTGGGGACCAGGTGCCTGCGGCCCAGCATCTCCCCTCACACCCGACCCCGTCACACGGTCTCAGGTGTCACAAAATGGTCGCTCTGCCCCCACCCCCACACGGTGGAAGCTGGAAACCAGGTGAGGACAGGGACCATGGAGTAGCCAAGCAGGGGGATGCAGTGGGGGGGGGTGTAGGGGGGGTCTCAGAGTTGAGGACCTGGGTGCTTTCTCAGGTGGGGGGCTCTCTAGGTCAGTTGAATGTCATTTCAAGGGAGAAAAAGCAAATACATGTGAGGCCACCTCGGGCCCCACCCTCCTTTTTGTCTACCGGCGCCCCGCCTGGCCTCCCCGGCTCCCTCCTTCCCCTTCCCCTGCCCGCGCCACCTTGGCCCTGGCCCGGAAGAAGGGGTAGCTGACGTTGCAGACTTTTCGGTGAGGCCTCCTCTCCTCGCCCAAGCACTCGATGCTCCCATCCGAGTCCTCCTGGGGATGCCACAGCACAGTCAGGGGGGTGGAGACCAGCCTGAGGTCTCCCTGCCCAGCCTCTCCCGGATCCACCCACCCCGACGCCCACGGAGGCCTGGAGTGCAGCCCCCACCTCAGCCCTGGCCGATGAGGGAGCCCCTTGGAGAGAAGGGAAGCCGCAGCTTGAGTCCCAGCATCTGGCCCGGACCACGCCCTCACCTTCTGGATGAGGCTGGCGAGCTGCAGGTTGACTGACTGTGAGATGTTGAGGACCGCCCCGTAGGCGTTCTCGCCCCTGTTCTCCAGCAGGGCCTCCACCGCCACCCGCCGGCGTGTGCTCTCCACGATGAAGACGGTGGCGTCGAAGGACAGCGCGAAGGCAGAGCAGCCCTGCGCCGGCCTCCTCAGCACCCGCTGGCAGTACTCCCTGCAGAGACGCGGGTCAGCGGGGTGGACACAGCCGGAGCCCAGGGCTGGGGGAGGGGGGGCCCCGGAATCAGCCGCCTCTGCTGCGGGAGCAGCCACGGAGGAGGGGGCACTGGCCAGCAGGGCGGACAGAGCTCGCCCTTCATAGGCCATGGCCTGCCCGCGCCCCAGGCCTTCCGCCATGCAGGCTGGCCTTCCTGTGGACCCAGGGCTCTTCTTGACCTCACTACTCAGGTAGTGCCACTGCATGGCTCATGTTTCCCTTTTGGCCATGGCCACCAGGAGGCTCAGAGCTAAATAGAGGAGACTGGAAACTGGGTAAGGACGAGGACCGTGGAATGTCCAAGAGGGGGGAGGTGGTGGAGGAGGAAGCGGTTGGGGGATCCCAGGGTCGGCCAGGGCGGAGAAGGGGCCGACTCACATGGCGGTGGGCAGGTCACTCCGGGCATCCAGCACGAGGTCGGGGACACAGTGCTCATCCTCGCTGCAGCCATTCCAGAAGGGCACCTGGAGAGGGAGAGCTGGGTAGGCACTGAACGGGGCCCTTGCCCCAGGCACATGGCCTCACCCGCCACGCCAGACATGCGCCCTCCATTCTCAGACCCCCCGGATCTGAGCTAAGCTGGCTGCACAGGTCCCCCCACTCGCCCGGCAGAGCAGCTCTGAGCTGAGTGGCAGGGCAGAAGGCTGTTCAAGAGGAAGGATGAACCTGTGCAAAGGCCCTGGGGCAGTCGTGGCAGGGTGAGTTGGGAGATGACAGGCAGCTCAGTGCTATAAGACTCTGGGTAGAGGAGAGGAGAGGGCAGGGCCAGGTTTATGGGGACTTGGGGTCATGCCTTATGGCTGACAGGAGTCATCGCTGCTCTAGGTGGGCGTGCCCTTCCTGACCTCTGTGCTGAGGGGGGCCCCCGGCTGCTGTGGGAGAATGGATGGGAAAGGTCGAGGCCAGAGGCAGGGAGGCCCCTGGAGGAGGCTGCCACAACATCCAGGCACGAGAGGGTGCCAGAGTCAGCACTGGCGGGTAAGGCGGGGACACAGTCGCGACCTCAGAGGTGTGATCAGGAGTGCCTGGTGGTCGTCAGGGCTGAGGGAGGATGGGCCTGGGGTGCTGGCCGGGGCTCTGTGTCAGGTGTCTGGAAGGACAGTCAGGCCGAGGAGTCCAGGAGTGCCCGTGGCCCATCGTGACCATCCCCGGCCCACCCAGGGGAGCTCAGCAGACAACTGGACTTTGGGGCCTGAAGCCGAGGGGCAGGGGCTGTCACCACCAAGAACCCAGCTCAGACGGGGCGGGGGGCAGGAACCGGTGCCACAGAGTCACGTGCATCCGAATCCTCCACTTTTCCTGGAAGACAACCTGCCCTCGCCCAGGGATGCCTGGGAAAGAGATACAGCTGGGGATGGACTTCCTGTGTCCCCATGCCCCAGGCCAAGGCGCATCCTGGGGAGTCCAAGTCTCCGCGGATTCACCCTGCCTGCCACACAGGGAAGGCGTGTGAGGACGACACAACAGATGTGACGATCCTGGGGAAGTGTTTGCCTGGCTGACCAAACGCAGTCCCTTCCTGATAAACAGCCCACGCTCTGCACTCTGGCCACGGGCTGCTCCCCAGAAACTGGACATTTGGGACGAGGGTGGGCCGGGCATGTGGTAGGGGTGGGAAGATGAGGACATGTCTAGCTTGCTGGCCAGAAATCTAGATGGACATGTGTCCTGGAGACAGCCACACAGTCCCCCCTGCGATGCCCGGTGTCCAGCAGCTTCCAGCCTGCCAGCCCAGATTCCGCCTCGGTAACATGCCGGCGTCTGGGAGTCACACCCATTCTCCCATCTCTGCACGTCTGAGTCCTGCCTGTCCTTCCAAATCCAGCTTAAAGGTGCCTCCTCCAGGAAGGCTTCTGCCCTGACACCTGATTCTCGACTCCATCCCTCTCGCCTGGCCGGTGGCCTCAGGCCTGTCATGGAGTCACCAGGTCACGGGGTGGGGGCGGGGGTGGTCGCCCTGCACATCGACCTATGCTGTGGAGTGAGCAACATGGACCCAGTGACTGTTGTGGAGACAGCAGTGTGCCCAGTCTGCCTCCTGCTCCCTAGAGGGGACCTGCCTTGCTGGTCCAGAGACAAGGCTGTGGGAGGTGGAGGCCTGGGGAAGGACGGGGCTTGGTCTGGGGAGGGGATGGGAGGCTGTGGGGGCATGGGCATGGGCGCATGGGTCAGAGGCATTGCTGTGGACACGCCGTCCTTTCACAGGGCTGGGACCCGGGGTTTCTGAGATCGTGTGCTGGGTGGCTCCTATCCCTCCCCAGACACAGCCCTGTGATGCACCCAGGGCTGTGTCAAGGGCGCTGTGGTGTGGCTGAAGGTGCTTCTTGCCCTTAAGGTCAGGTGTGAGCTCCTCCTGCTTACAGACACTGGCCATCGCCCACCACTTTCCGAGAACAAGTTTTCTAGACTGGCAGCAGCAGAGAGCCTGAGTGTTGGACACCAGCTCTCCCGATGTCCCCAGAGCCAGGAAGAAAAGATGCAGCTGAGGGGTGCTGCAGCCCATCAAGAGCCAGAAAAGCTTCTTTCTGGAATACTCAGGAGCCGTGCAGATCAGTTAGTCATTCAACAAGCAGACGGCCAGGCTCTAAGCGGCTGAGCCACTCTCTGGCCTTGAGTGTCCTGATGTAAAGGAGGGAGTGGGTGACTGGGACCTCAGGCCCTCTCTGGGAGTCCTCTCTCTCCCAGCACCACTCAGTGCTCCCCTGCACTGGGATGTGGGGACCTGGAATAGGAGAAGACCTGGCCCTCACCCTTGGGAGCTGTGAATCTGGGGAGGGAGAGCCATGCTGCAGGCTTGCAGGGACCGGGGGACGTGAGGCAGGATTCCTCGGTCCCAGCATGCTCCGCTCTGGGCTTGGGGAGGTGATGGTGTGGGTGGGCACCGGGCACCCGCCCTGCCTGCCAGGACATACCGAGACCCTGAGGGCGGTGGGCCAGTCATCGTCCAGCGTGGGGCCATGCTCGGGGTCCTCCAGGACGTACTCCACTGAGAAGGCTACTGGTTTCACATAGTCAGCAGTGTCCTGGGGGGATGGGGCAGGGGTGACAGGGGGAAGCTACTTTCCGGGCCAGCCCCACGATGCCAAGAGAGACTTCTGTCACCCTGAGCAGGTGGGCAGTTCCCTGTTGCCCGGGATGTGTCCGAGGGTGGCCAGGGATCCTAGGGCAGTAAGGGCAAGGAGTGGCCATGGGGACTCACCTCAGGCCAGTCCACGGTGGCAGCTCCATGGACTCCCATCATCCAATGCCTCAACTCAGAGCCTGGCGGCCCCGCCTCAAGCCACCCTCTGCTCTGGCCAGTCACTACCACAGCCCATGAGTCATTCTCACCACCTGACCATGCCTCAGTCTCCCCACCCAAGCAGGGGACAGGCTGCAGGCACCATGACCAGGGCTTGGTCATGAAGCACTGATGCTTGGATACTCATGACCAGGACTGGCGCTCGGTGTGGATGAGGGTGTGCTGAGTGGCCTGAGCCCCACAGCCAGCCCTCCTGTGGCAGACAGCTCTCACACCTGAGCTTCCATTTCATCCCTGGGTCACTAGGACATGATGCTGCCCACGCCATCTCGGCCTCAGTGGATCCAAGCATTTCCACCAAGTCCTGGGAGGAGGATGCCCTCACCCATCAGAGGGGCCTTAACAGGCACAGGGACATCTCACGGCTGCCCTGCCCTCTGCCCTCTGCCCTCTAGCCACCAAGCAAACCCCCCTCCACCCCAGCTCCCCAGTCCAGAGCTGCACCAACTGGGGTTGGTGTTTCTGGATGGAGGAAGCACCCCCTCCTCTGCCTTAGCTGAAAACGGGGCACCAGGTGCTGCCCAGCCAGGGACCCCATGGCCACGCCCCTGCCAGGTTGGTCCTGTCTGCCTCCCAGCATGTCTGTCATTGCCCACCTCACCGGATGCCCACCTGTCCCTCCCCGTGGGCCCTGCCCACATCTCCTGAGACCTCTGAACCCACCCCCTCCTGTGGCGACTGAGGGCAGGGATGCTGGACTCTGGCAGGAGGGTCGGGGTGGAAGGCAGGGTGTCCGGGGGCCTCTTCTCTGGGCCTGATGTGGGATCAGGGGTGGCCATGTATGGAACACAGACCCCGGGGACACCGTGGGGCTCTCCCCTCCCCACACGGGGAGCTGCCCCCTCCCGGGAGGCCAGGCTCACCAGGACGTGGAAGTTGATCTGCTCACAGTGCTCCTGGCCGGAGGACAGCAGGACGGCTCTGTTGGTGAACCGGTCCCCGCCCTCATCCAGGTAGGCCCGCGGTGCATACCGCCGCTCGTCCATGGTGGCATTGTACCTGATGCCTGCAGCAGGAGAGGGCAGATCGCAGGTGGGGCCACATCCCCAAGATGGCCTGCCGCCTCCAGGAAGCCCCCAGGCTGGCCAGGGAAGAGCTGCTCCTCCCTCTCCCAAGACCCAGGGGGAGTGGGAAACTCCTACATGGAGAGCAGGGGAGGGTGATCAAGAAAGGAGGGAGCCTAAAGAGGAGGGGGCAGGGGGAGGAGAGAATTTCTGGAAGACACGGGGGTGGGGAAGGAACGCTGCAGAAGAGGAGAGGAGACAGGATGCTGGGACAGGATGGGGGACAAGAGGACGGGACAGATGAGGGGACAAGATGGGGGACAGAAGAGGGGACAGGATAAGGGATAGGACAGGGAAACAGACAAGGGAACAGATGAGGGAACAGGATGGGGGCAGATGAGGGTCACGACAGGGGGCAGGTGAGGGATCGTGGCTGGGGACAGGACTGTGGGACAGCATGGGGAGACAGATGGGGGGCCAGGGCATTGCCCATGGCATCAGCACCTCTCCGAAACCCCTCACCCCTGTCTCTCCCTGGCCCGGGTACCACCGCAGCCCCTGCCAGCTCTCACCCTGGAGAATGGCCAGCCCCTCCTCGGCTCTGCAAGCCTCTGCCTCTGTCTGGGGTTGAGGCCTGAAGCCCCCTCCCCTCAGTGAGGATGATCCTAGCTAGTTCCCGGAGAGGTCCAGCCCCTGCTCCTCACGCGCCAGCCTCAGGGCGGCCCAGGGAGGAGGGCACAGCCTCAGGCCCCCTGTCCTGTCTTCCCTGACCCTTGGCTGAGACGCCCCCTGCAGTCGCTATTTCCTGTACAGCTCAGTCAGGCTGGGAGCCGTGGTCATCACCTCCTGGGCCTGGTTGTCACAGGCAGGTGTCTGACCCCAGCCTTCATAGAAGTGACAGACCCTCAGAGGGACACTGGCTGCCACATGCATGCCTGCTCCTGGAGCTCCTGCCCCCAGGCCTCCCTGGCCGGGCCTCCTGGCCTCCACCCCACTTCTGGGCTCCCGGGTCTGACCCTCCTCCTGCATCCAGGTGGACTTTGGAGCTCCGGCCCCCCAAACTGCTCCTTGGCCCTCCATCACATTCCCAGCCAGGCTCTGTACCAGCCTGGTCCCTTCCCCATCCCACTCTGGCTGGTCACCCCCTTGCTGCCATCCTCGCCTTGCACGGTCCCCTGTGCCCCTGGGAACAAGGACATTGAGTGGGACCCAGCCATCATCAAGGTGGCTTGAGGGCAGCTGAGCACTTGGCGCCCAGGTTTGGACACAAAGTCCAGGGACAGGAGGGGTGGGGGTGGGGCCTGGTTACCGACAGTTGCCGTCTGGAAGTGGGGGGCCAGGAAGACTGGCGAGAAGCACAGGAAGGCTGCCAGGCAGGTGGCGTCCCTGCCGCCACGCCTGCAGTCCCGGTGGAAGACGTTGATCCTGGGCGGCTCGAAGCGAAGGCTGGCATGGACCCGCACTACGGGCCGGGACCTGCGGTTGGGGCCAGCACGGGGGAGTGAGCGTGGGAGAGGGTGGATCAGGATGCAAGACCACCCTGGAGGGTGGGGTTGGGGCAGAAGGGGCTCCTGTCATCACAGGACAAGCCAGAGCGCAGGGGGAGGACCGGGAGAAGATCTTGCAGCTTGGAGGCTGCCTTCCTCACCCTCTTGGGCCTGCTAGCCCGAGACTATCTGACTTCCTTACCCTCCTCACCTCTGTGCCAGTGGCCCCAGCCCTGGGTGACCTCAGAGCCACTGAAGAGTTCTGAGAAATCCTGCCCTGGCTGTAGGTTAGAACCATCTAAGAGCTCTCAGAAATGCTGTTCTGCCTGCTGGATGTGGTGGCTCACGCCTGTAATCCCAGTGCTTTGGGATTCTGAGGTGGGAGGATCATTAGCGGCCAGGAGCTCAAGATCGGCCTGGCCAACATAGTGAGACCCTGTCTTCATTAAAAGAAAAAAAAAGTCAGGTGTGGTGGCTCATGCCTGTAATCCCAGCACTTTGAGAGGTGGAAGCAAGAGTCCAGGAGTTCAAGACCATCCTGGACAACCTGACAAGACCTCGTCTCTACAATAAATCAAAAAACTAGCTGGGCATGGGGGTGCACACCTGCAGTTCCAGCTACTTGGGAGGCAGAGGCGGAAGGATCACCTAAGCCCAGCAGGTTGAGACTGTGAAGGCCGTGAGCATGCCACTGCACTCCAGCCTGGGCGACAGAGTGAGACCCCTGACTCCAAAAAAAAAAAATCCCACGGCCTCTGCTGTCCCTCAGGCAGGGAAGTCAGCACCAATGTGAGCCTGCTCCCAGCCGTGTCCCTCAAGTCCCCCCACACTGGCACAGCCCCTGGGATTGTGCTGAGACACAGGCCCTGATGGGATGTGCTGGTGAGGGTCCCGCAGCTGCGGGCCCTCCGGTGGTGCTGCCGCCATGGGTGCTGTGGAGCTGGGCATGAGGGCTCGGGGTACAGTGCACAGCCAGGGCCCCCTGCAGGGTGCCACCCACCCAGCCACTCATCTGCAGGCAGGGGACACAGACTTTCCCTCATGGCGGTCTAAGTCATACACAGTCAGGAAAGGCACCACTTGTCTCTTCCAACCATGAAGTTATAGAAAGAGAGACAGGAGCCGTGTTCCCTGGACATGTCATTTCTCCATGTGAATGTCAGTGTGAGGGCGGGGCGCCCTGTGCTGTGGGTGAACAGTGGATTTGATCCTGGCTCCCTTGTCCCTCCCTGGCCCCAGGCAGGTCACATGACCTCTCCAATGGGGGTTGTGAGGATTGAAGGAGGCATGAGAAGCCCTGACTGGGCAGAGCGCTGTATCAACACGCCAGGCCACACCCAACGTCCTCCGCTGTGGTTGTCCGCTGGAATGTTCTGGGAGCTTTAAGCCTCACTGTGGCCCAGCTCTCCCACCAAATTCTGTTTCGGTGGGTCTAGGCAAAGCCCAGGTAAAAGCACTTGGGGTTGTCCTTGCGGGTTGAGAACAAGGGTTTGCTATAAAGCCCCCAGAGGCCTGGCCTACATGGGTAGCACGTGGGTCTCAACTCTGAAGCTCGAGCCTGTGGGAACCCTTCCTTGCAACCCGATTCTCTGGGGGTAAGTGTACAGCTGTTTCTTGTTTCCCATCCAGAAGTTCGTGCCACCTGACAGGCCTGCTTGGCTCTGTCTACCCCAGCCCTGGTCCTGCCTGGTTTTCTTAGCTGGAACGAAAGTAGTAAGGAAATTCCCAGGCCACTTGAGCCCAGGCTGCCACTGCCACTGCTACCAAAGACCTAAAGGTCTGCAGAAACACTGGCTTCCCGGGGCTGCCTGGAGGACCGGGGACCCCCAGGAGTGTGGGACTATGAACGCTTGGGCCATGGCAAGCGGGGAACGTGAAGGAGCCACATGAAGTCTGCAGCTCTCCTTTGGCCCTTATGACAGACAAGAGGTGTGGAAGTGCCAGGCAAAGGCTGCGTGCTGGGGAGGCGGCTGGCTGGGGTCTGCCCCCTTTGCCCCAGCTCCTGGAGTTGTGAACCCCTTGCCCAAAGCATCCAACACCAGCTTTCGCCTCAGCCCTCTCTAAGAATTGCATGAAGATATGTCCCCGTGGGATTGCATCTCCCTGCGGACTGGCATGATCTTGTTCATTCTCTCTGTGAAGTCGGATTTCTGTTGAACTATTTTTAAAGTTGTATGAAAAATATGGCTGCACTTATATAAAACTGTAAGCAGGTGGGGAGGCTGGCAGGAAGTGTGCCAAAACATAGACAGTGGCAACCGTGGACGCTGAGTGAGTTTTTCTATTTCACAGATTTTCCTATTTTTTTTTTTTAGAGATGGGGGTCTCACTCTGACTTGCTGTGCTATGTGTGTGGGGGTGCCACCGTACCTTCACATATATTTGAACTCTACTGTAATAAAAAGTTGAAAACATATATAATGTTGTTGTTTTTTGAGACAGGGTCTTGCTCTGTGTCCCGGGCTAGAGTGCAGTGGCATGATTACAGCTCACTGCAGCCTCAACCTCCTGGGCTCAGCCATCCTCCCATCTCAGCCTCCCAAGTAGCTGGGACTACAGGTGCATACTACCACACGCAGCTGTTTAAAAATTTTTTATAGAGATAGGGTCTCACTATATTGCCCAGGCTGGCCTGGAACTCCTGGCCTCAAGCAATCCTCTCACCTCGGCCTCCAGAGTAGCTGGGACTACAGGTGCATGCCACCACACCTAGCTATTTTAACAAATTTTTTTGGTAGAGAAGTGGTCTCACTATGTTGCCCAGGTTGGCCTCAAGTGATCCTCTCTCCTCAGCCTCCCAAGGTGCTGGATTTAAGACATGAACCGAGCCAGGCTCGGTGGCTCAACCTGTAATCCCGCATCTTTGGGAGGCTGAGGTGAGTGGATTGCCTGAGCCCGGGGGTTCGAGACCCTCCTGGGCAACTTGGCAAGACCTCATCTCTACAATAAATCAAAAAAT